GTCGACGCAAGCGAAACCGCCTATGCCGCTGTAGTATACCTCCGGATTTTGACCAGCAGCACCGTGCAAGTCGCCTTTGTAGCAGCTAAAGCGAGATGCGCTCCCAAAAAAGCAACAACAGTGTCGCGTTTGGAGCTGCAAGCCGCCATATTGGGTAACCGGCTTCGACTGTCAGTTGAAAGGTGCCTTGACCGAGGCATAGATAGCGTTACATTTTGGAGCGATTCGAGAACCGTTTTGTTATGGATCCGGTCAACTACACGAGACTTTAAGCAGTTTGTCTCAACCCGTATATCGGAAATACTAGCCACATCCAGTCCTAGTCAATGGCGATGGGTGCCCTCAGCGCTCAACGTGGCGGATGAAGCTACCAAGGTCAAGTCGTCGCCAATGTGTCGCACAGACTCTCTCTGGACGACAGGTCCCACATTTTTGCGATCCAAAGAAGATAACTGGCCTGAAGAACCAGAGCAACTGCACTCAAACATCGTTGAAGAAGAATGTATAAAGAGGACATTAGTCGCACATAATCGTCAAAATGCCATCGATATCAACAAGTTATCATCTTATACACGGCTACTACGAGTGGTAGCATGGATCTTACGTTTTATACGCAAACTAAGTTAGTGCCGAGTGAGATGGTAGCCGCGGAAAATTACATATGTCGTCAAGCACAAGTCGAAGTCTATGGCAATGAGATCAACACACTACGTGCGAACAAGTGTCTTCCGAGGTCGAGCCCACTATTTCAACTGACGCCAAAACTAGATCCGGATGGGATCTTGCGTACAAATGACAAAATCGATGCCGCATACTGTCTGCCAGAGTGTACACGCCGTCCAATTATTATACCGCAGAGACATCGCCTTGCGTCTCTTGTCCTTCATCGAAAGAATCATCACCAAAACAACAGGTTAACGATCAATGAAATGCGTCAGCGCTTTTGGGTGCCACATGCACACGCCGTACTGAAAGCTGTAATAAAAGGATGTCCAGTGTGTGTACGTCAGTCGGCCAAGCCGACCATGTCTTTGATGGGTCAGTTACCACGCGATCGTCTAACGCCATATGTCCGCCCATTTTCCTATACCGGAATTGATTATTGCGGCCCGTTCTTCGTTAGCATTGGTCGACGTCGTGAGAAGCGTTGGATCGCCGTCTTCACCTGCCTAACCACAAAAGCGATTCATCTCGAAGTGTCAGTCGATCCTTCAACCGACGCATTCTTGCTTTGTTTGCGAAATTTCGTGAACCGCC